GCGAGCAAAGTGAGTGATAGAATGAACAAGTGTCTTTTTGCGAGCAAATTGAGTGAGTGAAAGATCAAGCAAGAGGCTTTTGCGAGCAAAGTGTGAGTGAGTATGAGCAAGAGGCTTTTGCGAGCAAAATGTGAGTGAGTTGAGCAAGAGGCTTTTGCGAGCAAAGAGAGTGAGAGCGAAAGAGAGAATCTTTGGGGAGCAAAGTGAGTGAGTGAAAGAATGAGCAAGAGGCTTTTGTGGGCAAAGTGAGTAAAAGAGCGAATGAAAGGCTTTTGTGAGCAAAATGAGAGTAAAACAGTGAGCAAAAGGCTTTGCAAGCAAAGTGAGTGAGTGAAAGAAAGAGAAAAAGAGGCTTTTGCGAGCAAATTGCGAGTGAGCAAGAGAACGAGAGGCTTTTTGAGCAAATTGTGAATGAGTGAGCACAAGCGAGAGGCTTTTGCAAGCAAAATGTGAGTGAGTGAGCAAGAGGCTTTTGCGAGCTAAGAGAGAACAAGCAAGCGAGAGGCTTTTTGGAGCAAAGTGTGAGTGAGTGATAGACCAAGAGAGCAAATGAGACGTTTTGCAAGCAAAGTGAGTGAGTGAAAGAATGAGAGATAGAAAGAGAGGCTTTTGCAAGCAAAATGAGTGAATGAAAGGGTGAGAGAGAGGCTTTTGGGAGAAAAGTGTGATTGAGTGAAAGTGAGAGAGTCTTGCAAGCAAAGTGTGAGTGAGCAAGAGAGCAAGAGACTTTTGCGAACAAAGTGTGAGTGAGTGAAAGAGTGAGCAAGAGACCTTTGAAGAATAAAGTGTGAGTAAGTGAGTGAAAGAGCAAGCAACAGGCTTTTGTGAGCAAAGTGTGAGTGAGTGAAAGTCCGAGCCAGAGGCTTTGCGAGCAAAGTGTGTGTGTGTGTGTGTGTGTGTGAGAGAGAGAGAGAGAGAGAGAGAGAGAGAGAGAGAGAGAGAGAGAGAGAGAGAGAGAGAGAGAGAGACAGAGGGAGGCTTTTGCGAGCAAAGTGTGAGTGAGTGAAAGAGCGAGCTAGAGGCTTTTGCCAGCAAAGTATTTACTAGTGAAAGAATGAACGAGTAGCTTTTGCAAGCAAATGGTGAGTAAGAGGGGGGTTTTGTGAGCGAAGGGTAAGAAAAAAAGGGAAAAGTGAGGGAGAGAAAGGAAAAAGAAAAGGCATTGACTTCTGACTTCCTTTGTTGCAGTATAAGAAAGCATTAACATTGAACCTCAACTTTTTACTTTTCCAAAGAATTATAAACTAGCCATTTCTATACAAATGAATCTAATAAGTAAAGCCCCAAATTTCTCCTTTTTTAATTCATCAAGTTTATGACATCTTGCTAATCAAATATTGTCATATCCTAAAAAATGGTACAATATGTGAAAAGATTGAAAAGCCCTGCCCTAGATAATACCTGAGGATGGTTGGTATTAGATCTATGGGACTGTGGCACATACAATTTTTCCCTCCATATGGTCTGGTATTTGCAACTTGGCAATTTTAGTTACACCTGTTACTACTATTCAGCTTAGTTTCAGAATAAAATCTGATTTTTTTTTTATGTTAAGTGAACTCTATGCAATCCTTTTGTTGAATGGAAGTCCTTCTTCCATTATGTCCTTCATTGATTTTTGCCAGGATTAAGAGTTGCTAAATTAAAATTTGCTCTTTTTAAAATATTTCAGCATTGCTTGCAATTTATGCAAATGTTATAGTAGATGTCATTAGTAGATTACAAAACTGGAGTTTCCTCCATGTCTCCACTTGCTATTCAAAAATGCATAGTTCTAGATTTTTCTTAGCAGGTCAAGGAGGAGTTTATGCTCTTATACTGTAAGTTCTAGTTATTATGCTTATGTTAATCCAAAAAGCCAAGTTCTTGCAGATGCTCACATTATTTTAAATCAATTTGCTATTTTTTATTCTCTTGCAAATACTAATTCAAGTTTTTTTAAATATGTAGAATGCTATTATAGGTAGTCCTTGATTTGCAACCATGGTTGAGGCAAAGGTTTCTATTGTTGGGCAAGACAGTTGTTAAGTAGTTTTGCCCTAATTATGACTGACTGACTACCTGTACTTCATGGTCCCCTAACTTGATGTGGTTGAAATCATTTATTGGTCTTTTTATTTTGATTATTATATTAAGGATTTTGATTTGTTTGTTGGTGCTCACAGTGCCTGATCTGCATACTGCAATCTTTGAAAGCTATCTTCTACATGAGATCTATTACTAATTTTGCAAAACTGTACATTTTATATTCAGTCACTGTTACTATTGATCCTACTTCATTTAGGGTTTTTTAGGAAATGTTTACCAACATTTTATATTAATATATTGCTGAAAGGGCTTATGTTAGCCTCAAAGGGGAAATGAGAACCACACAGGATGGACTTTGTAATAATTGAAACATGGTTTTTGTAGTAGTAACCAACATGAATTTTATATATATATATATATATATATATATATATGTTTTCTGAGGTTTTCGCGGGTATTTGTATATAGGTCTTTGGTTGTTCGGGTTTTCTCCCGCGTAAAATTGGAAGTGTCTTGGCAACGTTTCGACGAAGTCACATTCGTCATCTTCAGGCTGGTGTTTTTAGCTTCTTGCTTTGAGCAGCAATGTTATATATATATATATATATATATATACACACACACATACATACATACATACATACATACATACATACATACATACACTAATCTACAAGAAAAGCTTCTCTTTTGGAAACCAGGACTGGCAGGAAACCATTTCATACATTGTGATCACTTTCGTTTTTAGGTGTTCTCAAGCCTCCGTGAACAAAAAAAAAGAGCATTTGCAAACAATGCTCTTTTCTATGACTATGCTCGTATTTGCATGGCTCAAAAACACTTTTATAATTCTTGTGTTAATTGTTGTGATAGGGTTTATTTTCTGTGCTTACTTGCAATGTTTACCCACAATTATTAGTTGTATGGATTTGATCTCAGAGATCAGGTTATTGGATGTTTTTTTCAATCAAAGCTTTAAAAAGAACAAAAGGGGAAAATGAAGGACTCAGGTTGGAATTAGGAAAGTTTGTTAAAGGAATTGCTGAGACAGAAAGTTGCAGCTGCAATGAGTATAATGAAAGGTGGGACACTACTAGCAACAAAAAAGTTACAAGTTAGAAGGACACACTAGAAGGATGCTAGCTAAAGCATGTAGATATATAAACTTTACTAACCTGTAGTTTATAATAGTAAAAGACACACCTCTTTTAATAAGAAAGCTTATTAACATAAACATGTAATGTATGAAGAGGAAGTGTAAAATAGAAGAATCCAATCAAAAGAAACGTGTCAAGCAAGGAACCCATGTGTGATTCTTAGGGTGTTAACTTCCTTAATCATAACTGTATAAAATTTGTGCTCATGCATTCTTTGAGGTCTTGGCTCCTTTAGCTGCTATGACCCTTGTGCTGGAGTACTCCAATAAAAGAAGCTGGAAAAACCATTTCTTGTGTCTGGTGGTCTTTATTGGCTTTGGCATCAGCCTAGGACCTATTTTGGGTGCAACAGTAGGACCTTCATAGTTTTCATAAACAGGGCCTATCATTAGCCAGAATGAGATAGGGACATTTGGCCAGCTAATAAAGATGGTCTTTGACTTACAACCATTTTTAGTGACCATTCAAAGTTACAGCAGTACTGAAAAAGTGACTTATGGTCACATGATCAAAATTCAAGTGCTTAGCAACTGGCTTATATTTATGACGGTTGCATTCTCCCTAAGTAATGTGATCACCATTCCCAACTGGCTTATGACAAGCAAATCAATGGGGGAAGCCAGATTTGCTCAACAATCACATGATTCACTTAACTGCAGTGATTTGCTTAACAACTGTGGCAAAAAAAAGGTTGTAAATTTGGGCAAAGCTCATTTAACAACTGCCTTACCTATTAATGGAAATTTAAAACTCAGTTGTGGTCGTAAATCAAGGACTACCTATAGCAGTTAAATGGGGAACCTAGCACAGAGACTACCCATCGCTTCTAACCTAAGACTTCCTCAGGATTTTAGGAGCAGCCACCTGGTATTAATAGAAGAGATCTGTACTCAGGGTTCAACTGTGGAGTCCTTGTTGCTCTCTGAGCTTGATTGTTTTCTTATACAGACTTTAGATGCATCTTCATATAGTTGGGTAATAAAACATCTGCAAGAAAACAACCAAGCTCAGAGGGCACTAAAGACTCCACAAACCTGATGCCTCAAGTAGCAAATTGTCTTGGGCAACCCCTGATTGAAAGCCCCGTGTTTGCAAATATAGACATTAATGCTGCTTGTTGGGGTTTTTTTGGCTGATTTTTTCTTCTTTTCGCTGCTATATGTGCACAGATGCTCCCATCAGCCATCAATAAATAAATAAAATAAATGGTCATTAAACAAACATTTGCAACTGGTATAACTGAGAGATGCCTCATAAGGTCATTTTGCATTTCATCCCCGTGATGTTGCAAGAAAAGTATGTGTTTCTCTAGGCTGCAATCAATTTGTATCTTTTTTTTTCATAGCCTGAAAATTGCTCTAGTGGTGTGCCTATTCATCTGGAAATATTATTTATCCAGTTAACAGTCATGGAAAACAGAGTATTGTCTAAGCAAGATGGCCAGGATAATATTTAAAAAACAGAAATTCTAGGCAACAACCATTTGGTGTCCCAAAATCTAATAAATTCATCTTCCTTTGTCCAGAAGAGACTTAAAAGCAGGCTCTGAAGCGAAATACATTCCAGGTCAGACCTGGGTATCACTTCAATATTTAAAACTGGAGAGGAATTTGAGCCTTTCAATGAAACATTAGTCACGTAATAGATCCTGGATTGCCCTTTTAGCAAAAAGTACTCACTTCCAACAGAATTACGAGGCTCCTGTTGGCTGTCTCTGGAGTACTGCAGATAAAAATAATCTTTTGGGGGTGCTTTTAAAAGAAAAAAAGAGTATGCTTTAACCCGTGGATTGGAAAGAGATTTCCTGTGTAACCTCACCATATGATTCCAAAACTCTTAGGAATGCCCAGCTGCTTTCAAAAGGGTTTATTTGCTCTCAGTGCTGTGTTAAGCTTTGCCTCTTTCATCCTGATCCTCGTGGCCATGGGCAGCCAGAAATGGATGACAGGGAAAATTCTTTGCAAAACCGGTGCTGAGCTGGTCAACGCCACAGACCCTGAGTTAATCAAGTTCATGGGAGAAATTTACTATGGGCTCTTTGAGGGGCGCAAAATGCGACAGTGTGGACTTGGGGGCCGGTCTTCCAGATTCAAAAGTAAGTACCTCTTTTGTTTTCATTTTTCCTGCATTTGCAAATAAACATATTCAAGTGAGGTTCTTTGATTATTAGTGATTATTCATCTTATTATTTGCCCCTAAAATTTTGTTTACCGGAAGTTCTCCTGCTTGGGCTGGGATTGGACTAGAAGATCTTCACAATCCTTTCCAACTCTGTTATTCTGTATTCTCTTCTTCATAAGTTTGGATTGAAAAAGGATTTTTGTGCTTCAACATGATTTTGCCTGGGGAAAATGTAGGGGTTGAACAATTAAACCCAGAGTGGCAGCCCTGGGAGCTAAGGGACCACTAGAGGGCAACCAAGAGACACAAGAACATGTCTTTGCTACCCTCTATTGGTGGTCTAAATCATTGGTTCTTAACCTGGGTGATATTGCCCCCCAGGGGGCAATTTCATTTTTCAGGGGGGCGATGGAACGAAAAGGGGCGACGCGGGGGCAAAGGAATGAAAAGGGGGCAATATGGGGGTGATGAAGCGAGAAGTTTTGGGGACACTTTTGAGACTTTTTCGTACAGTGAATCACTGCATATCTGTCGTACAAAAACATCAGATCGCTCGCTATTAGTGGATTGAATTGTGTTTTCAAATGTTCCTCCAACTAGCTTCAGCTAGCTTCAGTACAGAACCCCGTACATATGTACATACACATCGCTTATCTTCATGCGCGTTGTGCAGCAGCTTCTACCCATACAGTGGCGCGCCATTGGCCAGAATATGGGAGATATGGGGAAAAGCCTGGAAATAAATTATTTGCATCGATATGTCCTGATGACAGTTTTAAAGAAAACAAAAAAAGTGTTTGCATAAATTGAAGAATTATTTCCTATGTTGTGATTGAGAGGTTATGTTGGGGGAGGGGGGCGATGACAACTTCCTCATTGGCTCAAGGGGGTGATTCGTTCAAAAAGGTTAAGAACCACTGGTCTAAATCTTTGCCAACCAGATCTTGTTAACTGTACTTAAATTATTATTCCCACCCAAAGAGCAGAACACAGGTAGTCCTTGATTTATTATGATAATTGAGGCCAGAATTTCCATTGTTTGCCAAGGCAAAGCAGTTGCTAAGAGAGTCAAGCCTAGTTTTAAGATCTTTTTTGCCATGATTATTAAGTGAATCATTGCAGCTGTTAAGTAAAATGTGGTCATCAAGCAAATCCAACTTCCCCCATTGACTTTGCTTGTTGGAAACCAGCTGAGAAAGTTGCAAAGGGTGATCACTTGATCCCAGGAAGTTGCAACCATTGTAAATATATATCCATTGCCAAACACCCAAAGTTTGATCACATAACCATGGGGATGTTGCAATGGTTATAAGTGTCAGGACCAGTCATAAAACATATTTTTCAGTGCTGTTATAACTTTGGAAAAGTTGCTAAATGGTTGTAAGTGTAGGACTACCTGTAATGCAACTAGAATTGTTAGAGAAAAAGGCAGTCCTCTCTCTTATGACTAAGGCCAAAATATCCATAATTCTCTTCTTCCCCCATCAGGCCTAAAAAGCTTCTCTATTTTCATTATGTAGGACTAATTCAGAAGTTCATTTTTGCTTTGATTTTATTCCAATCTTCATTAGCAATTTTCTTCTATGCCCAGGAAAGTGTAACTTGGGATTGAAAGAATACACAATATACAAAAATTCAAAAAGAATAAAATTAAAATTAAAAAAAGAATAAAATTAAAATGACAGCATATACTCCAACACTCCAGAAAAATCAGGAATGCTTGTTGGAGCCTGACTGTGCAGCTTTTTTTTTTTTTTTTCACTAGTCTTCAGCATAGAAGTTGAGTGAGTAAACTTTCCATGTGAGACAAACAACCAAAAGGATGGATGCCTGGTGAAATGGTGTCTACCTGAAGTGAACTTCAGCCTGTCCAATAATTTGGTTGGGAACCTGGAGGTACTTTCAGACCCAACTGTGGGGTGACATGATCCAGGGTCAACAATGGGCCTGGTAGATCTGATGGGAAACCTCCCTTTTGCATCTGGCTCCTGGGCATGATTCTTGCTTTGATGGGTGTCAGAATCAACCTCCATTTCCTTTCACTTTCTTGAAATTGACTTGAAAGACTTAGCATTAACTAATGCACTTAAAATTGTAAACAAAAAGTTCTGCGTTCATGCTTGCTGGGACAAATCCTCCAAGCCTCCTCTTGCAGAATATTCTTTTGAAAATATTCTAGTAATTAAATTCTGAGCAGTTAAAAAGAATATTATGTTGAACTGCCCAGAGTTCCTGGGAGTTGGCCAGCATATAAATTTAAATGATGCTGATGATACTGATACTGATGTTACTGCTGCTGCTGATGGACGATGTCATTCTAAAGCAGCCTGTAAAAGTTTGGCCTCCGCACCCAGCTCTTTAACATTTATGCCACAGCTGCAGAAATCTACACTATCACTAGATGGCAGGCAAAATATATAAAAGACTACACATAATTCTTTACTTTCCTCTAGGTCAGGAGTGTCAAACTCGCAAAGTCACATGATGTGTCGTGACGTATCACAACTTTTCTGCCATTGCTGGCAATGGGGTGGGCGTGGGTTTGCTATGATGCATCCGGCCTGTGGACCGGCAGTTTGACATCCCTGCTTTAGATTAATAGATTAATGATTTTGCAGAAATTATGTAGATGGCTGAATAAACGCTGCTGAAGATGTTACCTAGCCTGGTAATGAAATGCTTGGAAACCAATCCAGAAGCTCGGAGAACAAACCTTCATCCTCATCCTATACCTGAGCTATAGATATTCGCCACTATGGCTGAATATCTCTCTGACAACCCCCCAAGCTACTTTCTTCAACTCATTCCCAGAACATTCAGTCAGTCAGTTTGTATGACCCTATTTCAAATTGACTCTGGGTAACTCATACTTATGCAGCAGATAGGTTTCATCAATTATTGCAATTCAGAGAGCTGAGCACTTTGCTGCCATTAGTTCTCAAAGCTGACATTCTTTTGCGAGGAACAAATGGGAAAAGGTATTGATTGGACTGAATGTATCATTCCAGCCCATGAGCTGGCTGTATGGCAAGCTTGAGTGGTGTGCCTTCCAGTCTGTGATATTTGAAGTTCACCCTGGGGAAAAGGCCAAGAGTGGATGGATATCCCTGTTGTAGGTGGGTGTAAACAGCGAAGTATATGGGCAGACAATTTATGCTCACCTGATTTGCTTCTGGTTCTGGTGCAAGATGAAAGCACAACATAAAGGTACTTGCACCGGGCATCAAAAAAGTCCAACCCGTATAAGGGGTCTTCAGTCACATGGTTGCAGTTATCATTTTGACTTTTCTGACTCCTATTGTGGTGAGTGGTCTTCTCCTATTTACTTCTGAATTAGTATGGAGAATTGTATCAATTGGTGGGGTTTTCTAAAAGCTACACAATTAGGATACAATATCAGTTTAGTGATATCTCTTCTGACCAGCTGCTCTGGAAGTCATCTTAGATAGCTTTTCAAGACTTAGAACAGGGGTGTCAAGCTGGTAATATTGCCGGCAATGGGGTGGGCATAGTTTCGGCATGATGCATCCAGCCTGTGGGTTGGCAGTTTGATACCCCTGACTTAGAAGATGATAATCCAGGCAGAAGCTGATTAATTGTTCCCCCTCCCCCTCCCTGGACCTTGAGCCAATAAAAAGGGTTTTGTTGTTTCAAGTCAATGATGCAGCAGCAGAAAGATTGGAGATGATTGTTATAAAGAAAATATTTTTTTGTCTCAAAGAGGGATCACCTGAGCACTGTTGCACATGTTAAAAATGATACTTATTGAACCATGCATTACTTCCTCTGCATGAAAAGAGAAAAAAAAAGTAAATCTGTTGCACTCACTCACTTTCCTCATTTGCATTGGCTTCCACACAAACCAAATACTTTTACTGATCCATGTTCAAACATATACATAGAATCATATAAAAATAGTTTGCTATACACAAAAGCAAGGCAAAGCAAAACTTTAAACAAGAAGAAAATGCCTACCCACACAAACAAGCAGGCAAAAACTGTAATTAAAACTATATCCCAAATTCACCTGATTTTGTAAATCTTGAAAAAGAAAATAAAACTCAGCAGGCTTAAGTCATTCTCAGCTGCACTGATATTAGAATACAGGTAGTGCTCAACTTCCCCACAATTGAGACCAGAATTTCCATTGATGAGCAAGAGTTGTTAAGTGAGTCATGCCTGATTTTAAACCTTTTTGCTATGGTTATTAAGCAAATCACTGCAGCTGTTAAGTGAATTCTGTCATTAAGCAAATCAGGCGTACCCCACTGATTTTCCTTCTGGGAAACTGGCTCAGGATGTTGCAAACAGCAGTCATGTGACCCCAGGATGCTGCAGCTGTTGCAAATACATGCTGGCTGCTGAATGCCTAAATTTTGATCACATGACTGTGGTGATGTTATAAGTGAGATGACTGTGACTTTTGTCAGCATCATTGTAACTCTGGTTGCTAAATGAATGATTGTAAGTCAAGGACTACCTGTAGTTTTTGTCCCTGATTCTGCCACTGCCCAAAGGCAGTTTCATGTGAAATTGTCAGCCTTGCCTTGGAAGGAAATCAGGAAAAAGAAGCATTTTTGAAGTATTGTGATGCTCTGGTTCTCCATTGTGTAGTATGTATTCTACATCAGCACAAATATATCCCCCCCCCCCAACCTCACCTTTCTGCTGAACCCCATTCAAGCTTAGTCACTGCTGCCTGCCAGCCTAATCATCCCTTTTCACAGGTTATCAAGATGGGGACAAAATAGCTGGAGACATGCAAATGAGGGATGCATGAAAAAATGGGTGGGGTTTTGATCTCATGCTTGTGTCCATCATTTTGACTTCTTTAACCTTATCTATGGACACAGCGCTTGCACCTTTGCTGAGACAATCCAAAGTTGAATGAGCCAGCCAATGTGACAAAATAAAGAGTAGTGGTAAATTTCAATTTCAGTTCTTGATTGATTGTTCACCCACAAGTACAAATCA